GGGGGAGAGGGAGAGGGGGAGACAGAGAGAGAGGTTTGCAAAAATATAGTTGCTTTAAAAAAAAATTTAAAACACTCATACAAAAGCATAGCCGTTTTACAACTTTATTTTTACATTTTTCCTAAAAAAAAAAGAAGGAAAAAAAAATCAATATATTGAAGGGTACAAAAAGAAATCTGCATAACTGTTGCTTGTTTCAATGTTGTACCACAACTTAAGGAAATAATCATTTTTGTTATGCCAAGATGCCAAAGTTCTAATTAGAGTTGAACAAAGGTCAACTTTATGCAAATGAGTGGTGGTGTGATGAGGCAACTACCGGTGGGATTGTAGACATTTATCTGCTGCCTGATACACATGGATACAGTTGTTTAGCATGAATGGCTACTAAGCAACAGCAAACAGCAATGTCGCTTAGATCCATATTTTTTTACAGTAAGAGCAAAGAAATGACGTGGAAGAAAGTAGGAATGGGATCAGGACACATAATTCAAGCTGGAATCAAATTAGAGTCTATTTAAGAGTTTTAAGTAAAATTAGAGTCTAAATTAAAGTCTGAATTAACACTAGAGCTCAATGTGTCTAGAATGTGTGCTTAACTGATAGGCCATAGCTCCAATTCATTTCATGTTACTATGTCAATTTTGAAAAGAGGAAGTAGTAAATAAGGATTAGCTTAAATGAAAAATAAAATAATATATAAAATAAAATAAACCTAAATGATTACTCATAGGGATGTAACGATGAACCGCGAATCGGTTGAGATGCCAAACAAATCGCAATACAACTGGAGTAGGAGTTTATATGAATACATCTCTGAGGGGAACTGACTGTCTTTATAAAAGTTGACATGGTATTTTCATTTCATCTTGCCTCTGAACGATGCATGTTAAAGTAGAGTTCATAAGCGCAGCTCTGCTATGTTTACAGCGGTAACCCAGGAAACACTGTATCATTGCTGTTCATAAGCGCCACCTGCTGACAGAGAGTGAATTTGCGTCTCATTCAGATCGTTCAGATATGTTTTATATAGTATAGTTTCAGTCAGACCATTCTGTTTTGGCTTCAAATTTCGAAATTATACAGTCTAATTTAGATTAAAACTTGCTCATGCTGCATGTATGCTGCATCTTTGTTTGGATGATGATTAAAATGCAGTGGTTGCTAGGGCTGCACGATAAATCAAAATGGAATCGAAATCGCGATTAGACAGAAGCTGCGATTCTCACCTCTCTGAGGCCTGACGCCACACCCCCTGTGTCTGTCGTGTGCTCGTCCCGTGATATATATATACATATATATATTAGTTGTTTAGTTTTAAGCAATAGCCTTACCCTTTGTAATTTAATAAACAACAATAATAAACATTTTGTTTCTGAATGAATGTGTGATTTTGAACTAATCAGTTGTGTGACTGATTCAGTGACTCATTTGTAAAGACAGTCTATGTGTGCTGTCGGAGTAGGTACTTCTTTTGAATAAGCACTTACTTTGCAAGCATTAAAAAGTATGTTCTATTAGGGCTGCACGATAAATCAAAATGGAATCGAAATCGCGATTAGACAGAAGCTGCGATTCTCAAGCGTATCTTTCAGTGAAGCACGGTTCTGTGATCAGCAGTAAATCTCCATCCAAAGGCCAGAGGGCGCTCTCGCGCTGAAACCCCAAATACGCTTCGCAGAAGAAACCCAGAAAATGCCTAAATGGTAGCTGGATAAACAGAAGATTTAACTGCTTTTATTGATTCAACGTGACTAATAAACACACGATTATGACAATATATGGTTTATCTGAGTTATTATTATTATTATTATTATTATTTTCATTAAAATAAAGTATATTTTTAATGCAATGCCTTTATCACTGCTTAAATACTATGAAATATGTAGCGTGCCTTATTCTGTGTAAGAAGCCACATCATCTCACAGAAGGATTTATTTCAAACACTCGACTGATGTTATGAAGTGAGTTTAAAGTAAAAATATGTTATTAAATATGGTATTTTCACATGCTTTCAGATGGAGCAGCATTTACTTCACAGAGCCGTAGTTCACTGAGAAGCTATGCAAACAGCTGTCATTATCACAAACAATTTCTTTGATTTCATAATCGCGCAATAATCATCTGCGATTTTTTTGCGTAACTTGTCAGTGAACTACGGCTCTGTGTAGTAAATGCTGCTCCATCTGAAAGCACGTGATGATGATTTACTGCTGATTACAGAACCGGCTTTACTAACAAAATGTGCATGACAATCGCATTCGATTAATCGTGCAGCCCTAGTGGTTGCCTCCAATTTTAAATGGAAAGAGCACAGACAAAGCCTTAGTTTGTTTATATGAAGAGATTTCTTTTAATAGTGTAACTTAGCTACTTGTTTGATTTGAGGTTTGTTTTAAAATTTCAATTTAGTTTTGTTATATTTCAATTTAACAAAGAAACGTACAGCAATAGCCTAATAAAAGGACACCTTTTCATTTACTGTATAATCTCATTTTGTTAAAAAATATCGTGAGAAAATCGAATCGTGAAATAAAAATTGTGAGTTAAGTGAATCGTTACATCCCTAATTACTCAAATTTCCCATTTTCTGTGTGGTGTTGCTATTATTCCCTAAAACTACAAATATTAAAAACAAGAAGTTTTTACTAAAACAAACTATTAAAAACAATAGTTTTCATTAATTGAAATTTAGCTGAAATAAATATCAATAATAGATAAAAATGAGAAATGTTGCCTTGGCAACTAACTGAAATAAAGTAAGTTAAATATTAAGTACTAAAATTACCAAAACTAAAACTGATATAAAAATAAATTAAAGCTAAATAAAAATATATAAATATAAAAATGACTCAAACTAAAATGACAACTGAAAATAAATGAATAAAAACTAATTCAAAATATTTATAAATAGTAAAATAATAGTATATAAATAATACCATTACTAATAATAACTCTCTGATGATTTGGGGAAAAAATTGTGGAATGGATTTAAAAATGGTAAAAGATTTTCTTTGGAAATCTACATGGCAGCATACCTGAATGCGCAGCAGCAGGCTGTGGTTGGCGTGTTCAAGTTTCCTCTGTCTCGTCTCCATCTCTTTGGCCCTCTGCTGCTCCTTCTGTAGCTTACGGATGTAGTCGACTGACACCTTTAGGATGGTGCCCTTGTTCAAGCGCATCTCGCTGTTGAGAAAACACATGCAGGCACTCTTATAGACACATGCACTGAACAAAACCATTAAAAGTAAGACAACTAGAGTGAGGAAAAAGTCAAAAAAAAAAAAAGATGATCACTGATTTTTTTTTTTTATTGCCACTTTAAAAAAAAATCCATTAAAATTATATTTTTTAATTCAGATACAACAAAATAATACTCTTAAGACTTTTTGTACTGTCATAACTTAAATGATCTTTTGAATTGAATTCATTCACCACTGGAAACAGTCACTGTTGAAAACCAGACAGAAGTGAGAACGAGAGCAGTGATACTGACGGGTCAGAGGACTTTGGAATGAGAGCTCCAAGTTCCTTAATGCGGTCGTTAATGTTGAACCTTCTTCTCCTCTCAACTGCAAAACACACACACACACACACATACTTTAAATCAATGGGAATGACTAGACAGGCAAGATGTTTGTTTTAGATCAACTGAAATATAATTCACTTCCTTATACTCTACCAAGGATGATAAACCTTCAGGTTTTCATGTGCACATAGTGATGACAGTTCTCGTTCCTTAATGCGGTCGTTAATGTTGAACCTTCTTCTCCTCTCAACTGCAAAACACACACACACACATACTTTAAATCAATGGGAATGACTAGACAGGCAAGATGTTTGTTTTAGATCAACTGAAATATAATTCACTTCCTTATACTCTACCAAGGATGATAAACCTTCAGGTTTTCATGTGCACATAGTGATGACAGTTCTCAGAGATAAAACAGAAACTGCAGGTAAAATCTGCAAGAAAGCACACTCACTCAAGTTATGATTGTCTTTTTTCTGTCTCTCCTTCATAATAGCTTTTGCCTCGGGATCTATAAGAAAAAAACACACAATATAGCAATTTATATTTAATCTTACAGGGGAAGTGTGCAATTTCTTTGTCACTTACATCACCAGACAAAAATGCCAAAACAATGACTGTTTCTAAACAGGTATCCTGAACAATCTCTCCGTCTGCCATTAGTTGAACAGATGGTTGTGTCTCAAATTAACAGCACTTGTTGAGTTAAAGTAATAGCATCGTCTGACTGAGATGTGGGACTTTTTGTGAGAATCAACCAAATACCTTATTTATTGTGGTTTCTGATAGTAAAATCAGATAAAGGAAGTATATCACTTCACCTTTAAGCTATTTTGTCAAGTCAAGTCACTGTTATTAATATAGTGCTTTTTACAATGCAGATTGTGTCAAAGCAGCTTTACAGTATTAAAAAAAAGGGAAATAGTGTCGAAATAGTGTGCCGTTATCCTCTGGCCAAATGAGACCAGCAGTTTAATTCTAGGTTGCAACAAAGTCAGATGTGTGCAGAGGACACATCCGGTTCCCGTGGTCTTGTCCCAATGGCCGTCTAGAAGATGAGGTCATTTTATGGTAGCTAAATAACATTCACAAATAATATCCGCACTTCTATTATTCCTGCTAATTTATTGCAATTGCTACGAAACCATCAGTTTTACTTCTATAATTCTTTAATTTTTAGTGCACAGTGTGCAGTGACTGATGAATGATGTGTATTTACACTAATCACTTAGTCACAAGTTCTGCAAAAGCATAAATATCCACTGATACAATAATTAATCATATGCAACGATGACTATTGCATATCAGAACTGGGAACTGCTGTGAAATTGGGAAATGGCAAATGTGGTGTGTAACTCTGCTGATACAGTCAGACTGACTCGACTGGCCGGTGAAGGATCGGTGCCAGAGAAATGAGGAAGAGGAAGCAGCGAAATAAAGAGATGGAAGACCACAGATGGAGATACACACCGGTCAACTCTCTCTTACCGTTTTGCAGGTCTGCAGGGCAGGAGTTGCTGACGATGAAGCTGGGTGCCGCCATTCCTTGACTGCTGTACACATCCAGGAGGTTTCCTGAGACCGGCAGCTGTTGAAAACCAATCACAATGAATTAAACCAGGACCCCACCCACTGCATTATCTGGTCAGAGGCCCCCCTCACTGCCACATGGTGCACCGTATGGATAACCTTCATTCAGTTCAGATAACCACAAACATGAACCTTCATATCTGAAGGGCGACATCTTTAACAATGGCCAAACGGCTCTGTGTGCACGCTTATTTCTAAAGTGAAACAAACTAGACAAGGGGAGGACTATCATATGGATAAAATATGCAAATATTTGTAAATAAAAAGCATTTTGGAAGGAAAAATTACAAATACATAAACTGTCCTTGTTAGTGCTTACTGAAAATTTAAGAACATAGAGCACATCTAACCACAAATTTGTTTAATTTCTTAATAAAAACACTCATGTAAATCTCCACACAATAACCAAGTTATTCTGCTTGCGTTTCACAAATGAGCAGCAGCAGATGCATTAAGAGAGCTGAAAACAAAATTACAAACTGCAACCTTGACGTCAGACATTTTTGAAATAATTAAACCAGTTACAGAAGATTCATAAACATGCTTGAAGTTTCAAACGCGCAGGTTTACCAGAAAACGCATTTCATTCATCTTGACAAACAGAGCCAGCCTGAAAGGCGACTTTTTCTTTTGTAAAACTGATTAAGCGTGCAGAAATCAATGATTTAAAATCCATCTTATGCTGAATCTGCTGTCCTGAGGCATAGAGATGCTCTTTAAAAGTCTTTAAAGCAAAACTAAAACCCAAACCTACCATCTTCCCATGGCATTTACACAGGACAAGCAATCCCAGAGTTAAAATGCACTCAAATTTACCTCAATTTTGCCTTTTTTCTTTTCATTCTCCGGCAGTAAAACAAGAATCCTCATGTTCTCTTAAACACCCGCAAAGTGCTTCCTCTTTCTGTGTGTCTCTCCGTAAAAAGGGACATTTAGAAATGGGGAAATATCTTTTGGAGTCTTAAAAAAAAGGGCAAGCTTGCCACAGAAATCAACTCATGCACACACACGTTCAGTGGCCACTGGTTCTGCATGTGTGTGTGTGTGCGGCAGCTCTCCGTCACTCCTCCGTGGCGTGCCAACCCCACCCATTGTGAGCCATGTGTTAGAAGTTCATATTTGCTTCCAGTGTTTCAAGCCCACATTCAACCCAAACGTCCCGAATGCAAACACTACACTGACAATATGCAATTAAGCATATGAGTCTAAGTTAACCTTAACTGGTTACACAAACGCCTCTACCTGAACTCCTCCCAGACTCAACTGAAAATTACCGATTTGAAAACCGAAATAGTATTTCCAAAGCAATGGCATGTCAGAGCAGGATTCAATTGGAGACAAATTTGCTTGCATAAGACTAAGGTAGAACTGTGGGCTTCAGTGAATGACTGGAAATTATGATAAATGGCTGTTTATCATAATAACATCATTATCATCAGTGAATTAAAAAAAATTAAACGCTGGTCCAAAAAGTCATGCAAAACAAGTTCAACAAACTTTGCTTAATCAGTTCTTAAGAAATAGATGACAAATGCACTTGCGTTGCTCAACTCATCCTTAACAAAGTTGAGGATGTCGTTACATACCGTGTTGGGAAGCTGCAAACCCGAGTCGATCAGTGTCATAAATTCATCGTTTAAACTTGATTCCAGGCTGATGATGTCATCGATGACGTCTTCAATCTGTGCATTTAAAACAGAGAAAAAACAGCTTGCAGATAAAGTTTTAGATTCCTTGTGACACAAAAATCTGCTATAAAGTGGATTTCCGCCATGAGTCATGAGGCAGATGGATGTTTAAATAACACACTACACAGCGGTTTCCAGAGTGACACACCGGCCACATGGAGATGAGAAATACAGACATCCGATTCAAAGCCCGATAAAAGTCTCGAACCTTAGCCAGCTTGTATTTCATCGTAGAGTTTTCCAGTCAGTGGTTTTGACTGGGAAGGGTCCTTCAGTACATACACAGGAGAAATGCAGAACTGAAAGACTTTAATAGCCAAGCCCACACAAAGTGCAAAGTGTGCTGGGGTCATTGAGCCGTGAGTGTGATATTTACCAGCACAATATGGTACCAAAAGCAAAGTGTCCAAGAGAGTCTGGCCGACTTCACGCAGACTTGACAAAGCGAGCTATTGTATTTAACAAACGCGAGGCGCATTCTTCAAAAGGATCTTTCCGAGTCTCAGAGCCAAACACTTAATTAGTTGTCTAGCATACTCTAAATGGCTTAAGACTTGAGATTATTAGGACAATAATTACTGGTTAGTACGGTTTTGTAAGCATGTGAAATTCACAGACTATGTCTAGCAACATAAGTGGCCTAAAGTACAAGCTGGCTGGAGAGTAAAACCTTTTTATGTCAATATAGCATTGTTTGATAGGCAGGCAATAAAACAGACACAAATACTGCTAGAATTACACTGAAGAAGGGACTGGAGCCTAGAATCATGGCATCGAGTAACACTAAAATCTAGTCACTGAGCAGAGATTGTAAAGGTTATATTGTACTTGTGCATGTGAAAGTAGGTCAGAGCACAGAGGATTATGCTATGCTGTCACTGTTTGTGTAAATGGGCCATCTTTTGTTATGGCATTGGCTCAATGACTCTTATCTACACAATTTTTATAACTTTATTGCCATGATGTAGTACTATTAAAATTACATAATTTGGAGATTGAAATAAGATAAAATACTGTTCAAATGTTTGGGGTTGGTAAAGTTTTTTAATGTTTTTCAAAGAAGTGTCTTATGCTCACCAAGGCTGCATTTATTTGATCAAAAATACAGAGCAGAGGACATTCATATAGAACGTAAATGAAGTCAGTATGATTTTATTCATATTCACTACTGTTCAAAAGTTTGAACTGTAAGATTGGTCGGTAAATGTTTTTGAGCATATTAATTAGAACATATATATTATAACATATCGTAAAGACAGTTATATTGTGAAATATTATTACAAATTACAGTAACTGTTTTCTATGTGAATATATTTTAAAATGTAATTTATTCCTGTGACGCAAAGCAAAATTTTCAGAGTCTTCAGAGTCACATGATCCTTCAGAAATCATTTGAATTTGCTGATTTGCTGCTCAAGAAACATTTCTTATTATTGTGGAAATTTCTTATTTTTGTGGAAACCCTGATGGATATTTGAATATCAGCATATCTGAAGAACAGCATTTATTTGAAATAGAAGTCGTTTGTAGCACTATAAAAGGACTTTACTTTCACTTTTGATCAATTTAATGCATCCTTGATGAATGCAAGTTTTTAAAAAAAGTACATTTCTAATGTTGCTTTTAAGACATAAGGGCTTTCCGTCAAAACCATCATCTATGCTAACCATGCACTTTCTTGGCAATATAAATGCTAAAACAGAAACATCTGATCTGGGTTCAGTTCATACCTCTTCTTTGTTTGATCCCAGGCTGAGCACAGCCAGCGGGCTGCTGGGAGTGCTACTGGCGGCAGGAGCCAACTCAGGGGCGGAGGCAGGCTGGGGCGAGGGCAATGTCGCCAGAGTCTGATTGGCTATTTTATTGCCAAGGGTGTGAGAGAGGTATTGCTTCACTTGCTGCCTCTGAGCTTGCTGGATGTGGTACTTTGTTGGGTTTTCCAAGTGCGTTTGGACCTGAGATTCAAATACAGGACACCCCATGGAGTAAACAGTATTTCAACATCCAAATGTTTATATTTCATGTTAACTGTTATAGATGGTCATACCTTCAGCACTTCCACGGGCACCTGGGTCGGGGTGGCCGGCAGGGCGGATGCGACAGAGATGGCAGGGGTGGCATCAGTGGGCCGCTGCTGAGCGCTGGAGGCCTGTTTTTGGGCCTCCCGTCTCTCCTGGTCCTGAGCCTGCTGTCGCATCAGCTCCTGCCTCATCAACACACGTGACGTCATGACGGAGCCGGCTGGGGTCACGGGGTCAGCAGAGGTCACAGAGCCACTACGGGGGCAGACGATGAGAATGTAAATCGGCTTAGAGTACCACGCTACACCCCCGTGCTACACCCCCGTGCTGTAATCATATTACCACAAGCTATTTCTGAAACACAGGGCTGAGAGTTCACCGCCGAGACAGAGATCAATTTAAGACAGACAGCGTGAGAACAGCAACTTAAAACACAAGACGGTTAAAAATAATGATCTCTTATTTGCCATCGCATGAAATTTTACGTGTCATAAAATTGCATTTCTCATAAAACCAAAAACTACTGTAAATTTCTTATTTATAAAGTCTTTTTAAAAAATATAATGACTTTTTCTGCTTGAGGCAAATCAGGAGAATACAGTTAACCAATAATATGACTGCTCTACATTATTCCTTCAGCATATTGTGTTTCCCTTGGAAATACATCACATTGTGGATGTTAAATGCAGTGCAAATGCTATTTTATGTTGTCAACATAATTGATGCATTTACTTTCATACATACATAATCATTCATATTCCTGGTATACTTTTCATCAGTGCATGTTATTCCAAAGACACAAAATGTTTGTTTTCATAATATTTCATCAAAATAAAAATAAATTACATATAAAAATAATAAAATAAAAAATATGAATAAATATATGAATAAAACGTTTGAAAACTATAAATAAAATAAAAAAAATATTTAAATAAAATATAAACATCACCTCTGAAACTACTATTTCTGTTGACATTTTTTTCAACTCCTCTCGTCCAATCATGTAAAATGACCACTTCTCATAATCCAATCAACTGACGGGGAAAATAAAGTTGTCCCGCATATTTTTCTAACTGACTTTCACTTAGAAACATGTCCTATTATGGGGGAAAAACTGGTTGCAAGCCCGTTCACGTTGACTTTTGCAACAATAGTGTTTAAAATATATACAACCATCAACATTTAGCAGACACTTTTATCCTAAAAGCTTTAAGAATGTGAATAATACAAACAGAAAAGTTCTTTGTAACATTATCAAGCTGTGCTATCAATGAACACTGCTTACATAACAACAACAACAGAGCAAAATAAACCAAATCTCTCTGTACAGTCTCACATTTCCAACAATACGGCCTTCACATTCCCTTCACACAGACTCGATTTTTCTGATGAGTCATTCTGGGAAGTACCAGAGCCAACGGAAAACAAGCAGCCAAGACCACGCTGCCTCAAACACACAGTTTGCAAAAATGCAAATCCAAAGAATACTATGTCAGGCTGATCATCCAGTCAGATAAACCTGAGAGACTGTGGGAGACAGCAGCGTGTGAACTTTGAAACACTCGTATAATTGATTTATCTTCAAAAACACTCGGCTATGTAATTCTGCAAACACAAACCACTATCCTAAACATATTACTCCATAATCAATATGATTTTTTTTTTTTTGTAAGAAGAGCTGTGGAAAGAGGTATTATGATTGATCGGGGTGTTTAGATTTGTGCTGAATCACCGGGAAGTCCCTGGAAACAGACACTGGGACGTTCTGTCAACAGAAACCCAACGCCCCGTCTAAACACCTTCAGGACAGCATGCACTGACCTGCCTCATCGCATTAAAAAAAAACATGCGGCACTCACACAAATGGGCACAAAAACAGTTCTTAATTTCACATGAAATGAGCAATGTAATGAATAACAAAAAAAACGAGAAGAATGTAAAAGTTCTCAACAATTTAGAAGTACAGTAATTGCCGGTAAACTCCCACGGGGTGAAGCTGATTATACCGTACACCAAATCAATACGTCACAGGTATGCAGCAAAATATGATCAAAAACTTCTAGGCATCTAACACAGAGCATGCAGGAAGTAAATCAGATACGATTGCGGCTCTCTCATAAGCGTATCTGGCATGCGGTCACAGTCTAAATGTGTAGGTGAGAGTACAGAAACAAACAGGAAGTGTGCTTTGATAATTGTGGTAACCGGACTCACCATGGGGTGATGGGTTGACTCTTCAGCTCATAGAAAGTGTCCAAATCGGTGGAGAAAACGCCTTCTACCTCAATATCTGCCACAATCCCAGACTCAGGAAGAAGGGGTTCAACACTGAGAAAGGAAGAACACAGCTATGTCAATTACTCTCAGTCCACAAACTTCTCCTGTAATCTGACATGTTGATGCAGAGACCGTGAACAGGAGGGGTGTGAAGTAAAATCCTGGAATTAATAAAGTCACTAACCACAGTTCCTCATTCCCAATACATCACAGGCTTTGATGGCAGGAAAAACCATGCGCACATAAATTACACAGAACACAGTACAATCTATCACTTAATACATTATCATAAACGTTAAAGATACAAAATCTTAATTTAAATATAATGTGTATATATATATATATATATATATATATATATAATTTGTAAGTATTTGTAAGCTTTGGATAAAAGCGTCTGCTAACGGACTAAAAAAAATTAAATATAAAATTATATATATACACACATATACATAAAACCAGTTTTAAAAAGCATTAATTTAATTAAAAGGCATTATTTATTATTAATTTAAGCATGCTTTTTAGACCTGAATGCCCTTTATTTGACATATTTATAATTATATAATACACACATATATATATATACATATATATACATTATATATATACACATTATATATATATATACATATACATGTGCACACATCTATGTGTAGCCATTCATCCACATTTGAACAGAGTGCACAGTGAAATCCTGTAAATACAGAGTGATAAGGAAGGGAAAAAAAATCAAACCTGCTTTAAAACCCAGCAGCACAACTGTAGCTGTATAACTTTACAACAGCAACACTGCTTTAACAAAA